TCATTGTCGGTATTAATTTTCTATTTTGTTTGCTCTCAAATTTCTATTTTGTATTTGTGTACGACACAATGGCTTCAAGCGCTACAGCGATTTGCTTAACTGATGTTGATTTAGTAAATAGCTTATTAGTTAAACCGTTCTCTGCTCAATCGTCGTTCGAACAGAATGTTATCGTTCATGAACGGCCTACTCCTGATTTAACTATCCAAAATAGGGGACGAACATTTCAGAGAGATTGGTATGAGGCGGAGGACTGGCTGTGTGGCTGTACAACCTTGCAAAAAGTGTTTTGTTGGCCATGTCTTATGTTTTCCCCTCAAACATAATCATCATGGACTAAGAATAGCTCCAAAGATATACGAAGTATTATGTCTGGTGCTAAGAAGCATAAAAAATCTAAATCGCATTTGACTGCTTTTAAGACATGGAAAACGTATGGAGCTAGTGAACGAATTGATTGTCTTATGTCCCTCGCGAGAAGAAATAAGATTAAGCGTCACAATGAGGAGGTAAGGCAAAATCGAGAAATTTTAAAAACTGTTACTGATGCAGTGCTATAATTGTCAGAGCATGAGCTGCCATTTAGAGGTAACGATGAGTCCGAAGGTAGCTTGAACAAAAATATATATAGAGAGTTGCTAGAATGTTTTGCTAAGTTTGATTCTGTAATTGAGCGTCGACTGCACAGTAGACTAACAGAATCTGATAGAGTTGGTGACAGAAGATTTACTGGAGTTTTTTAGATGTTCAAAATGATCTTATCAGCTGTCTTGATTTAGTCATTAAAGATGAAATCAGATATAAAAGAAAAACTGGTTTTGCAAACATACGATGGTGCTTCTGTGATGTTTGGCCATATCAATGGTGTTCAAGCATTGGTTTCACAGCCTCATTAATTTCTCCGGTAAAAATCTTTTTCATTGATATAGGTACATTCGGCACATTTACAAGCAATGCTCCAAAAAGAAAAGCTTTTCTCACATCAAACAACCTTGAGTTTCCTGCCACTGGTGAAACAAGATGGTATTATCTCTCTAGATTATTTAATGCATTGTACAAAAACTATGAAACACATTTAAATATTTTTGATGGGGTACTTGAACAACCAGCTGGATGGGATGATGAGTCATTAAGTAAAATTAAAGGCTTGCTGCATTATCTTGATAGCTTTCTCTTTTGTTTTCTAGTGTGTGTCTTTTACAGGACTTTAGAACAGTCTACAATTTTGTATTACATTCTTAAAAATAGGGAAACCCATTTTAATTATGGCATAAGCAAGATTACAATTTCAAGCAGTTTTTTGTATCGCTTCGCACAGATCATACTTTCACCAAGATTTACCAAACTGCACTAGAAAAAATAGGCCCACCAGCAACCAGAGCAAATAGTAGATACAAGTACAAACAGTTGTATTTTGAGATTATTGATTTCATTAAAGGCATGTTAAATGAATGATTTCAAGATATTAATCAGTTGAAGTTTTTAGATCTCGTAAATCCTAAACTCTTTATTTTATGGAAGGGCAGTAATGAGGTGCTTAAATAAATCTACAAATTTAATGTCCAGTCGAGTTAACGTCAAGTGTTAAATTTGTTAAAATTGAATGGTGTCTGAGCAGTGGCAAGTGCTTCAGCAGAGAGGTCGTTTTCTTGCTTGTAAAGTGTAAAAAGCTATTTGAGGAATAGAATGGGTCAAGGTCGACTTAGCTCTTTGTATAAAATATCTATTCACAAAGATATCATTAAACAAAGCGAGGAATCAAAGGTGCTACATAATGGAGGTGGTTGAAAAATTTGTAGAAAAACACAGAAGGCTGGCCTCTCTAGATAATTGATGGGTACAGTATGTGTTTGATATTTGTTCTTATAATGCATGGTACTTCATTGAGAAAATTAAGCATAACTTTAAAGAATAAAGCCATCCCAGTCTACCTGCCCCAATCTAAACAAGTGTAAACTAACAAGTGGAATGCTAAGAACACTCTCTCCCCATGCATTTTGGGATGTGTCGTGCACTAGATTATTTTTTGTGCTAATCCAAATTTCTTCAGTTTATTCATGAGCAGTGATGAGTTTGATTCATTATGTTTTAAGAGACAATTGTCTCCTGCGTAACATTTCTCTGAGCCACCTTTAGTACCTTTTTAACTAGTTGCAGTTTTGACAATTGCCACATTAAGAATGCAGCTAACAAAATCGGTTTTTTATAACTTATTGTACAACAAATAATTCGCCCTCCAAATCGCCGGAAATTCTTTTTCTAAGGCTATGGATTGCAAAATTTTGTTGACAAGAAAGCCAAATCGCAGCTTGGTGGTTTGACCAACGTATATGTTAAAGCAAACTGTCACACGTTGGTGGTAGTTGCTCATCTGAACATTTTCCTGCCTTGAACAATGAGAACCAACATCTGTGGACGTCCTCAAAATTCTTGCACTGTAAACAAACAAATCTATTCAGTTGAAACACAATTTCTTCTGACGGGGGAAATGTACTTCCTAAGAAACTAAATAAGTTTAAATATTTGTGGCTACGTAGAAGAATGTTCCATTCACTTATCATCATCGCAACAAAAGAAAGCCAGTAACAACAGAAATGAAGAAATTTTGAGAAATTGAAGGCTATAAGATCCATAAGCTTCCATTGGTAATTGGAAATTAGTGTAAATATTCTTTGCTGAAGTCATTCTCATTGCATTCTGCTTACAACTGAGAAGTATTTTGAAAAAAGAAGTGATAAAATCTCTAAACAACAAGCTAGAACTCGACGTTATATGATTCTTAGAGCAAACTTAGCTACGAATTGTTTACAATATGTCAGAAGAGGTACACTTTTGTATTTTTCAACAATCTCTTTCATAGGTTGTTATGATTGTTAAAATTCAGTTAAGGCTTTATGCCCAAGATCATGTTTTACAGTTCAAGAAAGAAAATTTTTCAGTGAGCCATTTCAAAAGACAGAAAGCTGGATTTTTTTGCTTTAGTTTAAATTTTGTTTTACTGCGAGTTTCATTAGTAAGGACTTTCATAGATAAATATTGTCCTTGTCATACAATGAAAAGGAGAAAGAAAGAGTTCTGGCAAATTGATTTAAAAAATTATCCTGTATTTATATTTCTCTAGCTGCAACAAATCTAATGATGAGTCTGATCTATTATACATACTAAATTGCCAATTTACTCTGTGTCCTTGGATAAAAGTTTATAATGTCGATTTAAAATAAAGAATATCTGAATTAGTTTTGAAGTCATTCTTTATATAATTAAGGTATGGAAACAGTAACTCAAGATGGTTTGGGACATTGGTATGTAATGGAGACAAGAACTTCGGTTAGAAGAAAGTGAGCAAGCACTTTAATGCTTAGTGTAAGTTCTACAAAACCAAAAAATGTTGTCCTTTTATATTTAAACAGAGGAATTTCAGAATTTTACTCTTCCAAAGCAAAGAATGGACTCCACTTATACTATGTTGAGTGACCTTGTAAAAAGAGTAGTTAAAACATTGAATCAAAGCAATTTTCGTGTTTAGTGTGTCTTATAGCCTCATAGCAATACTTTTAAAACTTTACTTTTGCGCTTGCATCACTTAGGGTAGGTTAATCAGAAAGGCACGTACGTTATGGCATCTGTAACATAGCTGTAACCTGCTAAATTTTTGTTCGGCAATTTTTACATTCATCTTAGGCCTGTGCAAAATAATGTGACTCGTTAAAAGCTTATTAAAAAATGCTTTAGTGGTAATGATCAATTTCCTACCAAGCTTTATTGTTCAAGGCAAAATTTATGGAAAGATGCGTTGCTATCTTTCGAAAAGTGAGTTGTACATTCGTATTAGTTGAGATATAACGATTTAACCATGATTTATTTAAACTGACGAGATTTAGATCTAAAATATGCTTCTCCTATGGTGATACATAAGTGCGGAGGTGGCAGTAAAGGTTTTCTTCCAAAATTTTCGACAGAATTCTTCATTTAAAACTTACATTTTACTTAGATTTTATTAAGAGTCTCGCGTTTTTGCCACCTTTCAAGATGGCGCCCGTGAATAAATTTGCCTCACCGCAACAACGGCATTTAGATACATGAAGTTCCACAGCGAAAAATGGCGACATTCAAAATTAAAGGAGCGAGGAATTCTGAAATTCAACCGCAAAATACTAAAAAAACTGCATCTTTTTAGAAGTGACAATAAAAAGAATATTAAACAACAAGTGATTTTCTCTCTATTATGAAAATTTTGCGCCCTTTCCTTAATTGTCCAAAGAAACTTGTCTGTAAAGAATATTTTCGAGGCACAGATCATGGTTTATAAATGTACTGACAACTAAGCTTTTGAGGCAAAAACAGTCATTATTTTAATTATGTTATAGGCTTAGATATAGTGCTGTAAAAACAGGCATAAAAGCGAAGCCAGAGAAGAGATAAAATATTACATAATTTTTGCATTAAATGGATGCTTTCCTCATCTCTCTGAGCTTTACTGAGACAGAAGGTCATAAATTTGGCGCCCAAAATACAGCTTTTATTTGTTTCTTTGAAACGTATTCCGAATGCCGCCTTCATTCTTATGTCTTTATTAGTAATCTTCAAGGAACCTTAACTGATTATGTCAAATTTCGATAGAAAGGAATGTAATGTTTTGGGTTGAATAACAAATGCAGAAATTCAGTGAATTGATCTAAGACTTTCTTAGATCTTTATTGATCTATGGCAACAGGTTTTACTATTTACTTTCCCACGTACGGTAATTTTCCTTTTCAGGTAGGCTACCTGCCAATGCAGGTTTAATATTTAATGAAGATGTTTGCAGGATTTAGGTTTGAACTTGCTGTGTTTAATTTATATTTCTTTTACAGCTACCTTAACAAACTTTGTAACGAAAAACTTTAGACATAGGCAACAGAATCTCGGCACTATATCTTTTGAAACAATCCAAATTTTAAAGCGACTATAGGAAAGTACAGTTCCATTTTGATACATTTCATTGTTTTTATAGTGCATGCGTGAAGATCCACCCCAGCAAGTATTTTATTGATTAACAGATTGGCGTTGCCTATGCACGTGATCTCTACCAGGCAAATAAAGAAAGGGCGAGTCTGTTTGTTATCTTTCAATCGTTTTGGTGGCAGAGAGAAGATTACACGGAGCTTGTGTTTGGTGAAGAAATATAAACGTCAGTGATCTTTATATAAAAACGATAAGACATAGTTAAGTAAAAGGTGGGTAAAATTATTTCTTATTCTTTATATAATGAAAGTGTCGTGATGAGCATTTAGCATTTACCAGATGAAAAGGATTCATTGCCTCAAAGAGAAAAAATAAAAGCAAAATGCAATAAACGATAAAACAGGCAAAAGATATTTCAGTGAAAAATTCTGACTGGAGCTTGTCTTGTTTTGAACACAGCCTAAATATTTCATTTGATTTTGTAAGCGCCAACTCTCGCTTCTTGTCGCGACGCACTTTTATTGAGAATACTTTATCATACCTTTGTTTTATTCACATTTTTACTTGAGACATAGCAAAATAAATATTATAGAAACCTTCGTCTTCTGAATTCTATTTTAAATTGTTGCATTGCAATCAGAAACCTTCATTCCCATCGTTCATTCAAGATAAATTTTAAGTTTTTGAAATACGAAAAAAATGTTTTGAAACTGGAACAGCTGCTACAAAAAAAATTTCGTGATCCTTTTCGTAGTTTATGATCACAGACAAAAATATGGAGAACAAAAAAATTGTAGTTGATATGAACGAGCACCGATAAATTCGTTAAATGTATTAATTTTTATTGGAAGAAAATTCATACGGAAGAAAATAATTTTTTTCAAGTATTGTTGAACTCATGATATTAGTTCTCCTTTATGTTGGGAAGACAGCAGGTAACGTCGGTCCAATACGAGACTGCCACCTGTATATGTTCATTACAAATAAGACACTTGTATAATGTAAGTGTTTTCTCGAAAAGATTAACTTGATAACACCGCCTTGCAACGCAAAAAACCTTGTTCACCAGCTACAAAAGAAGGTTTGTTGACGCTACGTTAAATAAACTACTAGAAAAGTATTTGAAATCGGAACAGCTGCTAGGAGAAAAAATTCCGCGATAAATTTGTTCTTCCATTCTCACACACAAAAGAAATTTACTTAAAAATGTGTGCACAGGAAGTTGCCATGGATATAAATCCATAATTTCATCAGATGTACTAACTTTTACAGGAAGAAAATGCCGACAACAAAAAAATATTCTTCAAGTTAGCAACTATTACTGAACTCATTAAGTCTGCGTTATTTTATGTTTTTAAAACGTCGGTTGAATGCAAAACTTCCGGCTTCCGAATTAACCCGCACTAAAAGATTTAAAAATTTGTAAGTTTTTTATGAACTTTAGCCATTGCAAGACTACATAGTTCTTAAAATCAACATAGCTAACGTAAATAAGAACATAAATCTCCAAAATTGTAAAGAAAGTTCTGCAAAAAGACTAAATTTTGTAAAAGATAATCTTGACTGAAGAAATGTTTCATGAATTCGTTGCTATGTGGCATTTCTACCATTTTTAACATCATTGGAAATTTGGCGATCAGAAAAAAAAAACAAATGTGTATTGATAGGTTAGATTTTACTAATTGGAAATTTATCACCAATAACATTGTAAAGGAGGTACTTTTAATTTAAAATTAACAGCTATAATTTATTTTGCTAAAACCTAGATACAATTAAAAAATAGTGTTCATCGACACTTCGATCTATATAGATTAAAAGCTGACAATTAAGTAATTCAACGATATTCTTTTCGAAGGTGTAAGTTACCTTATCAGTGACGTATTCAAAATAACTTTTTTGAAACCTTTCGATGCAGATAACAAAAAAAATGATGATTGGATCGTTGAGATCTGATCACTCGCTACTGAAACAAAGAACTCTGAATGCCGCCTTTATTAATACATTTTTATTACTAATCATAAAGGGACCTCAACCGATCACGTCGAGTTTCGATTGAAAGATTTACATATACACCAGATACAGTTGAATAACAAATACAGAAATTCAGTGCATTGATCTTTGCATTGAAATAGAAATTTGCAAGAATTTCAGTTTATTGAATAACAAATACGACTTTCTTAGATCTACATTGATATATGGCAGCAGATTTATTTATTTAATTTTCCGTATAAACAGTAATTTTCGTTTTAAGGTAGGCTACCTGCCACTGCACGTTTAATATTTAATTAAGATATATGGTGTCCATACACCCGAAACCATGACAACACATCTTATACCATCCAATAATATCAACTCAACAACTAACCAACCAATCAGACGCTCCAAACGCCTACAAAATCTTTGTAAATAATATATTCGCACATTCTGACGAAGGCTCGAAGCACTGAGTTGAAAGCTTAATAAAAATTTAAAACAAATCCAGAGAATCCTTATCATTATCATAACATGCCTGGGTTACCAATTTTCAAATATATTATGTTGTATGTGCTATAGCGTCATAGTGTTTAAATAACCTGAAGCAGACCTTGAAACTAAGCGAGAGGTTATGATCAGTGGCGTATATAGAACGTTGAACCTTGGAAGGTCCATATTCGTAAATTCAGGCGTGCTCGACTGATTTATTTTGAAAGTGTATTTGCGGGGGAGGTGCACTTCTAGGGAATTTGTCAGTTGATAAGGGCACTAAACGTCATCACTTATTATTTTTAACTGTTGGAAAAACCTTTACCATGATAATGACTCATAGAAAACAGTATTTGCTCTTTGTACTTAAAATTTTGAAAAAAGACATAATCTGCGTTCTTTGAATTTAAAATTAAGCAGCTTTAATTTATTATGCTCGCTGCTGCTCGCTGTGACTACCCCTATAACCGCTACTGAAAAAAAGAAAGAAAGTAAGGTGGTAAACCTTAAGAATTTTCAGCTTTAAACATTAGTTTTTTAAGCTGCATATATCATAAAATAAATTGAATATTTACTAGCTATATAAACAATGAATATACTCAAAGCTTCATTGACTTTGACCACAATACGTTTCTATGCAACAGTTTTGATAATTAGAACGGCTGCTGAGAGAAAAACGTTCATGTTGACTTTATTGCTTTACGTTGCCGATAAGAAATTTACAAAGAAGGCTCTAGCACAAAACCTTAACGCCATCAAACCATACACTTTAATCTACAGATGAAAAGAGCGTGTGACAAAAATAGATTTCTTGAGGGGAAGTGGCATGAACGAACATTCATCGACAGTGTCAGGGTATAGAGAACATATAGTAGGGCCAATCCATTTAATTTTTATGTGCCACGTATACCTTATTACACATGTGATTACCTTATTGGCTGCCAGTAAATTGCATTGTGAGACCAATAGGATTGACGATATGGCAAACGGCAGCCTGTAAACGAATGAAATATACAGCAACCAGTTGCACAGCGAAGTGGCCCTACTGTATATTCCTATACTGTGACAGTATTAGCGATTAATATGGAGCGGACAATATTCATAACAATACCTTATGTAAATAATTACAAAAGAATTTGACAGTATACAATATGTAATTTTACATAATACTATGATTTAATTATAATGGATCACGATATGTTCATATGATGAATTATTTCTATATCTACATGTATTGTTAAATTTTGAAAGTCCTGTCACAAATTTAATGATAGTGTTGTTCACTGTGTCGTCATTGCTTAAGTATTTATTATACGCAGAGTTAATAAATCGCTAATTATTTGCATAGTTTGATATAACAGTACAATTGAAGTTACACAAGAATATAGACCACATTAGTTTTGAAATTACCATGTGCAATACTATCATTTGTGTGACGCAGTAGTTACATAATCACGTATTGCATTATTTCGTGACTCACGCGCGAGAAACCGTAATAGCAAGTATTTTATTGGTTTTTGGACTTGGCGTTGCCCAAACGCGTGGAATTTTCCGATCATAGAGTATAACAAGATCCTGTTTTCTTTGCTTTTTAACATTTCCGCTACATAGTGAGATGTAAAAGAAGCCTGTGCTTAGTAAAGAATTTCAAGTCGCACCTATTCCTAACGTACAGACAAAAAGGATCGGACGTAGGTGAGTGAAATTGTTTCTTATTTTCTTGATGTGCATTTGTGCTTTTATGAAAATTTACTTAGGTAAAACAAAAATATTTACCAAGTATTGGGAAACACTATAAATACTGGCCAAATGTTGCTAGATAAAAAACTAAGTTACAATAGAAAAAGGTGATTTTGTTTAAGTTGAGAGTGTGAACCTTGCACTTAATTCCATAAATATTTCCATACATGTTGTCAGCGTAAACTCTTGTTTCACATTTTCACATTTTCATGGTGACTTTGCTTTGCCATGACTTTATTTAAATCACATTTTAAATTTACACGTGGCGTAATAATAATACATCTAAAATCACAATGTTTACAACTATTTTATGAAGGATATCAGATCATTTAACAGTAAGATTCTTTTCATAGTAATTCAAGAATAACATAAATATTTGTTGTATGTTCACTTTTAATTGCGGAAACTAATAGTTTTTGTGGATGATGAATAATTACAAAGTATATAAATACATAATTCCGAAGACAAATTTCGTATCAGAACTTCTTGCATTTTGTACACTACTTATAATGTTGACGAAAGGTTACGAAAGTTTAATAATTCTACCGCAGTTCATGTCATTTTCAATTTGTGCATTTAAGATTTATAAAATTATACGCAGTGGGAGTCGGCTCAAAATCATTCAAGAATAGCGTAGATATTTGTAGTATGCTCCCTTTACTTGGGCAAGCGAAGCTGTAAACAAATGCCTTTTGGAAAAGTTCTTCGAGTCATTTATTGTAAAAATGAGGAATTCAGTTGTTTGAAATTGGTTTTAACCATTGAGTTCTATAATAACTGAAGCGGCTATCTTTAACACGGCCTTAATTAGCGGCTGACGCCAAAAACTTCAGCGATAAATGTGTTCTTTTATGCTCACGACAAAAGAAATTTACATAAAAAGACGCCGTGAAAATGGCGTGGCATGAACCTTTTACTTCCGGCTTAATCTACGACGGCAGTCCTGTTGACGACGACGTGAAAATATAATTTGACGTCGTATCGAAGACGGCTGAAACAAACTTAATTTTTGGACAAAAATAAGGAAATAGCCTTGATATTTGCATGTTAAAAGATTATATAGGCCTACATATATTTATTTAAGGAAAAATTGCGAATACTTTTTTTTCCAAAAGCGGAAAAAGAAAACAAATAAACAACGCGGGGTCTCCTCTAATTTCGGGGTATTCCACGAATTAAAAAGGAAATGATATCACATTGTATAACTCTTAACTAAATTGTCAATCATGTGACCAACTCACTTGTTGTTCTGCGAGATGAGAGCACATGTTATGTTATGTTAAAATATATCTTCTCAATTGTTATGTTGTACGGTTGTATGATTCGATCTGCCTATCACTAAAAGCCTCTTCTAACACCACGGAGTCAAAACAATTTTAGTTACAAAGCCGAATATCGATGAATTTGCTTTTATTTATAATTTTATTGAAATGAATATACAGCAATATATTTTTGATATCAAAAAATTAGATAAAATGATCGAAAAACACGATCCAGCATGAAAAATGCCGAAATAGATGAAACTTGTTTCATACTATCATTAGATGAAGTCCTACAAAAGGTTTGCTAAATCGTAAATACTTTACGTGGTGGCGTCCTACACCCAGATCCCTCGCGAAAATTTGTCGACGTCTTAGACGAAACGTCGTGTTTGCTAAATCACTCTATTAAATCACTAAAGTATGAGTACAAGTGTTACATGTCATTTTCAGTATAAAAACAAGTAACACTTCTCGAAACGTTTAGATCAAATAATGTTTTCTATTTACGGAGAGCGTACATAGCTAGATTAATTAATAAATGTTTTCTCAGAATGATCAATAACTTCATTGTTTATGCTTTTATACAGCTACCTTAGAAAATTCGTGTTGCAATTTCTAAGACAAATACATTGTACTCATTCAGATTCAATCATAATTATCAAGAACGGCATTTATATATTATTGATATGTTAACTCTACATTACCGAAACTTAAAATTTTTATGATACATATATTCAAGGGCGTGTGTGAGATCTCAATACCGGAAGCAGAGGATTGATTTGCTCGACAAAAAGGGGTGATGTAATTTTATATATTGACATAAGATTGTGTACATTAAGTATACAAAACCCTACATGAAATACCATTTCGCTCAACATGTCAACATAGAGAAAAGAAGTATCAACTTTGTAGCTAAGTAATAAATTGCCACGTATATAATTCCGAAAAAAATATAAAATACTATTCAAAACACCAGCTTGCCAAACGAGTTTGTTACTAAGACTAAAAGTGTTTTAGCCACGCATTCCAAAAACCATCAGCATTTACGTCCGTGCATATTTTTGAACAAGTACATCACAAAACAAGTTACATATCCGACTCGCTTGATAAATTGTCGAATCTTATTTTATCGTTGTATCAAGTTTTAATATATGTTGAAAGAATAACACAGTAAAACAAACAGAAACTTTGCTTTGTCAACGGTTGTTCTAACTTCAAAACTTTTCTTTAGAGATTCGATGAATACATAGTTCATGTTTTTCTCTATATTGACGTTCAAAATTATTTAATATGCTGCTATACAGACATTAAAATAATTTAAAATCAACTCACAGGACCTATTTAGATTTTTTGTCATGAAGAAAGTCAATTCATATATGTTTGCAAAAAGAGAATAACGTATTTTACTGTCAAACGATAGCCATATGCATAATGCATGTGGACATAACTTTTTTATGTAAACTAACACCACCAACTAAAGTATGGACACAAGCTATTAATACGACAAAATGATTGTTTTTTAGTTCATTCGTGACGCACACTGGAAACTATCCGAGCCAGAATTTGATTGATTTGAAAAAAATCCTAATCCATTTCACTTCGAACATCATGTTTTGGTTGACAGTCGTAGGAAGAGGTCTATCTTTGGTAGGCTTGGTGGTGAAGAATTTTCATGGCCAGCTAAACATCATAGAGACTGATAAAGAATCGTGCATAAGTAGGTGATATCATATGTATAATTCTATACTAAAACCATTGAACTGAATGTATAACAGGATGGCAACCCTTTGGTCAGTATGCCGAACGTACTTGCATGAAATCAAGTTTTACATAACCGAATATGGGTGTTTTGAGGTAAAGTTCTGCATTTCAACTTACAGCTCTCGTGAACTTTCTTTTTTGCAGTTCAACTTATATGGTTTTACAGTAACCTTACTGAACTAAATATTAAAATAATATTAATATTAATATTAATATTAATATTTAATATTAATATTAAATATTAATACGTTGTAAAACAATTCTTAATTGAATCGTGCATCAATTCAGTAAAGACGTCATGCAAGAACTTTCTCGTGTAAACTCTCTCGGTATTATTATTCAGGAATGAATTTTCGGTTGATTTTGGCTCACTTTTTGAAGTTCTTTCTAACAACATAATAAGCTTACACTTTTAAATAACTTTCAAAATATATATATTGAGATCCACGTCATCAGTCACGTGACTTACAGGACATTTTTGGAAACCAATAATGTGAAATAAAGTAATGGCCGACAATATGAATGAATAAACCCATAATCAGAACAAAAGATCTTCGCGGCTAAACTTTACATCGCTTTATATTTACAATGAAAGTAAGGTTTTTGTTCGAAACTTTATATTAATAGCATGTAAAAAGTTTAAAACATACATGTATAGTCTCACAACCAAGATTTTGAAAACAAAAACGAAAAAAATTTTAAATGCCGAGGCTGATATACAAGAAGATAAGCGACCGATAAGCTTTTTATCCTAAGTCAAGCATCGCTTGAAGTATTATCGCGCTATTGATTGGCTGAAAAACATTTTTAGCAGTGCATTAGTTGCTGTAATAGTACTCGGCAAAGAGCATGGTCATCATCTGTCAAATAATAAACAAAAATACCTATCCCAGTGTACTTCCATCACTAAAAATTACGTATAAGTAAATGCAAATAGATTCCCTTTGTCATTAGCCATAGTTTGCTGACCTACATAACTTTATTTAGCTACTGACTCAAAGTGATAAAATCTTCTTCGACACTCATTTTACTTAAACATCCATGAAAGCCGTCATTGAATTTATGTTTCGAGTTTTAAAACGAACGTTTTCAGCATTTTCCCACTTCTTTCAACCTTCATTGAGAAAAATAGTCATAAATTTGACGCTGACAATGCAAAAAAATATTATGAAACGAGCACCATGTGAACACGCGTCAGTTGAATTTATGGGAGATTTTTGATATATTAAATCCATTTCTAGAAATATGTTATTGCACCACATCTAATAATTAATTAAGGTTTTGGCTTAAGCATGTTTTGTATAAAGCCGTAGAGCACTAACAAATAGGTCGAACGAAAAAGCCAAAAGCCACAAGTTATCTCTTTCAAGGAAGGCATGTCAAAAAACTAAGTTGTTTTATTTGATGTTTTCAGCTTATGTCGAGAGAGATTCTGCTTCCAACCAAACGAAGAGAGACCATAAGATATTCAACGATCCAATTCATGGCACCATCAAACTTCATCCTTTGTTGGTCAAAATTATCAACACACCACAATTCCAGCGTTTGAAAGATATCAAGCAGTTGGGACTCTGTGATTATGTTTACCCTGGAGCAACTCACAATAGGTATAGTTATTGGTACTAAAAATGTCATGCGATCTCATTCATAATCAATATAATCAAAGATGTTTAAACCATCATAAATATTCACCTTAAAATTTTGATTTCACACAGGTTCGAACATTCTCTTGGAACTTCTTATTTGTGTGGGAAGTTGATTGATAAACTACAAAAGCTTCATCGTGGAGAGATTGAGATCACAGATAAAGAATGCATGTGTATTAAAATAGCAGGACTTTGTCACGATCTTGGCCATGGACCGTTCTCTCATTTCTTTGAAGAGTACATCAAAAAGAAAAAACCTAAGTGGAAGCATGAGGATGCGTCTTGTGAACTTTTCGAATTCATGCTCGAAGAAAACTCAGAACTTAAGAAGAGTTTTGATGATTTTCCACTTAATCAGGAAGACATAGAATTCATCAAGGAACTTATCAAAGGTATTGTCAAACGCAGGAATCGTTACCTACATAGTCCACAAAGCTTTTTCATTTGAAATGTATAAAATAAGGAACACCTAATATTACAGACAGAAATAATATTTGATTTTGATACGCTTTGATTCTGAATGCACATTTGGAGCTTAATGTCTGAAGCCTGTCAGTGCTGTCTGTTGATTTTTTTAAGTAGCTATCAAAATGATGGTAGCACTTTCTCTTACTCATTGAATTGACATTTTTTTCCATTAAATTTCTCACTTCTTGTCTGATATAATTCTGAAATAATCAAAAATTGACATCCGGTTGATAAGGCTTTCAGGTTTCTTTTAACTAGCTGCTTTTATGCTGGCACATGTTTAAACAATGATGGCGGATGTTTTTTTTAGGTAAAAATCCCAATGATGTGACAAGAAAATGTGAGTTGACTCACAAATATAAATGCTTTCTTTATGAAATCGTGTCGGACTACTTTCATTATTTATTATTCGTCCCAAATTATTATTCCAGTAACACAACTCCACATTTATATTACAGTCGCCCAAGACTTTATAAATTCTCGTTGTATGCAGGTAAAGACCCCAACAAAGAAGACGAAAAGGTAGAAAGGATATGTCCATTTACAGGTCAACCAAAATGGTTTCTTTATGAAATCGTGTCAAACAAACGAAATGGCATCGACTGTGACAAGTTTGATTATTTTGCCCGTGACTGCGCTAATGTTGGAGTGAAATGTACATTTGACCATCGACGCTACTTTCAAAATGTTCGCATCATGTCTAACCCTGATAACCAACAACTTCAGATCTGCGTACGTGACAAAGAGGTGTTTAACTTGTACGAGTTATTCCACACCCGTTGGTCCCTTCATCACAGAGTTTACCAACACAAAACTCAAGCACCTATAGAAGACTTGCTCTTTCAAGCGTTTGAGAAAGTCGACGAAGTCATGAAAATTTCAGACGCTGTGAAAAAAGTAAAAACAGATGAAGGTAGGCGACAATACTGCGTCCTAACAGACAGCATTCTTCATGACATATTGCGAAACAAAACGCCTGTTTTCAAAGAAGCGCAAGATTTGATAAAACGCATACAAAACCGCCAAATTTACAAATTTTGCGGCCAAAGTCGGCAAATTTTGCGGCCAGAATCAAAAGACGATAGCCCCAGTCTGCAAGAATCAAAAGACAAGTCCAGCTCACCAGAATTAAAAGACGACGAAATTTGTACAAAAATTGCCGAAGATTTAGCTCAAAATTCCAAAGGAGAGTTAAAAAAAGAGGATATATTTGTTTCCCCCGTTGAAATCAATTTTGGAAAGAAAAGTAAAAATCCAATTGATGCTGTGATGTTTTTCAATAAGTCTCTCGAAGTAATAAGAATAAAGAGAGAACAAGTGAGTGGAATATTGCCACGAGATTTCGAGGACAAATACTTCAGAGTTTACGCAAGAAACCCCGATCAAAAAGAACTGATTAGACGTTTGTTTAAGGAATGGTGCTCCGGGCAGAAAAATTTTCAAGAACCTTTTGGAGGATAAAAAACAATTTAAAGTCAGTGTTTCTATGTCTAACTTTTTTGAAAATGCACTTTACGATTTCTTAATTACATAATCACTAGTATTTGTAATGTATTACATCAAAGCCCAAGTGAAGGATAAAAGAAAAATGACGAGCAAAATGTTAGCTAAACCTTGCTAATCATATTTTACCTTGCAAATCAGGATAAATTGTATCAAATTCAACAAAATGATTAAATATGCTCTTATAAAGTTTCGACTTTTATCAACGAAATGACTGTAGCCTGGCGACGCCTTTATTTGGTAGCCAATAATAATCATATATAAAACTATTATGCCGAAAATTGTCGAAAATTTTGAACAGCAGCTGATACAGACACTGCTATACTGTATTCCTCAGGTGATAAAAATCGACTTAAAAACAAAACGAGCCGATGTATCGGAAACGTACAAATTCTGCTGAGAGCTTTCAACTTCAACAAACCCCAATTTAATCCATTCAAAATATGTCTTACATCTCATTGTACATAATTGTTTATCGAAGATATGATTACAGACGACACTAAATGCTGATGTCATAAACATCCCTAGGCATGACTAGTGTCACCAAATGTTTATGCAATTACTCTGTTGATTTTGTATGTACTATTTTAGTGTTGTTTTCGTCGTGTCGTTTTTATCACCAACCTTTTCTGCGATGTACAGAAAAACTTTATTCGTAAAGAATTTTGTTTGAATTGTGTAAAATAATTCCCGTAAATTATTTTGTAATTTGTCATTTTAATTTCACTAAATCGTATGTGCTTGACACATTATCAATCAAATTCAACGAATGCTTGAAAAATAGCTATATGATAAATGTTCAACTTTCATCAACAAAATGCACAGCCCTGCTACTCTTTTTATAATATCTTCAATCAGTATTTTAAAATGAAAACATATTTTTCAATTTTATCACAATTGCAAAAAAGAACAAATTTCTAAATCAAAATTACATAAACTATCAAATTGAGCACAAGATCTTGATTGCTAAAGAATTATGCTATATACTGAAAAGCTACATGTAAGATTTGGATTTGAGCTTGTTGTGTTTAATTTATTTTTCTTTCAAAGTTACTTTAACAAACTTCATAATCAAAAATTTTATGCATATGCAACAGAGTCACGGTACTATTGGTTTTGAAACAATCCAAAATGATCAAGCGATTATAGGAAAGCACAATTCCATTTTCGCACATTTCATTGCTTTTTTGGCGTATGCATGAAAAAACATGGCTGCTGTCTCGCGTTCTACTAAGGTTTCTGACGATATATTTTATTGTTTAGCTGAAAGACAATACAAAAGAAGAGTAAAGTTGCCACTAAATTCGACTTAAAGATATTTAAATATAAAATAAAAAAAGTTCCTTTAAAATAACTTTATATGTATCGAGTAACATTCGTTCGCTTTTAATAGAGATGTCAACAACATATGCACAAAACAATAAATTAATGAAAATTATACTAGCAACCTTTTTCTTCATGAATATTAAGATGATTCTGCTAATAAACCATTTGATTGCTTGTAATCTAATTGGTAATTACGAGAATACTACTCTTATTCTATAGCAAATGCTGTAATTTGATTGGCTATTATACTTCCTATTGAATTCTCATTAGATAGCAAGTAGCAGAAAATTATGGTTTCTGTCTAGCGTTTTACTTAGTGTCATACAATGAATTTGATTGTTTACTTGAAAAGACAATTCGAGAGGAGTTCGTTCACGAATTTGTTCTCGATTTCCACCGAGGTAAGAAGTTGATTCAGGCTTCGCCATTATCAACTATCACCTCATAATATCTCGAGCTAGTAATCTAATTGTTAAATATCTCAAATGTACAAAATACTAAAAGGAAGTTGCAAAGCAAAAGACAGCAAAGTCTGCATAAGTAAAACAAAAAGACAACAATTGACATTCAAAGTTTGTGTTACGTAGATGAACACAATCAAAAAGTAATATTGATTGTGATGATTATCCAATATTCATTGATAAAATATAACTATAGCACGGCGATTTGTTCATATAGTATTCAAAATCTATAAAAGCTAATTTGCCAAAAATCCTCAAAATTGGCCTGTCGGACATTACAGAGCGCTACTGTATTACCCAGACTATGATTGATAAAATTTGAGTAAGCTATGATAAAATTTGCCAACAAGTCGGTTACCTACGAATTCTGCCGAGAGCTTCCGACTTCAACATAATCCATCCCAATCCAATACAAATAACCATATTTCTTACCGTCACTGTACACATCTATACATAAAACACCTGATGATAGACAACACCAAAAGCAGACGTCATAAACATCGCCAGGCATATCCACCACGTGAAATATGACGTCACAGCTCTGACAAGTTCCGACACGAACACGTGACGTAGATTTTGAACAGCGTTCACCGTGACATTTGAAACGAGCATTGATTTCTGAAGACGTTTCATTAAAGCATTGGTCGACTCCCAGTCGGTAGTACCTGTGAAGAAAATGCATTTATAACAATAGTTGTACTAACTGTCTTCGACAATATAACGGAGAAACTTTTATTTGCAACAAAGTACGTACAACCAAGGGACATAGGAAGATCTTTATTGAGGAAGGGAAAAGAGGCCCATCCCTTTACAATCTCAAAACAAACGCATTTGCAATGTTTACAAGTGAAGGTAGAAATTATTGTGGGTGAAGGGGCGGCTGTAGCTCCTGTCTTTACTGGTCAGCGGTCCCTTTAATCTACAGTTGGAAATTGACGATATGAGCCCAGGTAGCTGGAATTCAACGAATCGTTAATGATTTGTGTACGATAAAGTAACAAGCATCTCCAATAAATTCAATATTGCCAGTTGTTTTTTAAAAAGCCAAAGACTACCCAAAATACCAAATAAAGCTCAATATGTACCTGCTGTTCTTAAAGAATAACTAAAGACAACCCAGTATACTCAATAATCCCAATATGTACCTGCTGTTCTTAAAGAATGACTATAGACTACCCAGTACACCCAATAATCCCAATAGGCACCTGCAGTTCTTAAAGAATAACTAAAGACTACCTAGTTTACCCATCATCATGCAGTCAGTCGTAAGCGACGAGGACTGTTCTATGGTTGGATTGAATGCCCAATAATCACAATATGTACCTGCTGTTCTTAAAGATATCGTCAGAAAGACCAAAAGGATAACTGGAGTCAAATATTGAAGAGAAGCCACAGATAAATAATAAAAAACACTAAAAATCTAAAAAATACAAAAAATACACCGATATTTGAAAGTGAACATTATAAAATAAAGGATATGGCGAAATGTATATTAGGTAAAATTAATAATAAAAACACAGAAATCTACATAACAGTTTTCTGACTGTATGGCAACGATCATTTAAAAATACTTAACAACTAGTTCAGTTTCATTATGCTAATTTACTTCTATTTAGAGATATTTACATTTCTTCATTGTGCAAATACTCTTACCAAGACGCCATTTTGCATAGTTCTATATAGTTTCAAGAAATAATTGTTTTCTTTGATAGTTCAAAATAAAATTTTAACACAGCAACTAACACATTCATCAACACATGCATGAGGAACATTGATGTTCTATTTATTGATGTTTAATCTGTTTCTAGAGAATTTTAGAAACACGCGTGGAATGTTTAGAAAATAAAACTCACTTTCCAAATGTTTTTCTTCCGACGAGTATTCTTAAATGTTTTTTGTTCTGCTTCTTGCATTGTGGAAATTTTTCTGTTTGCTTTTGGAAATTCGTTTTAATTGTAAAAAAAAATACACGTACTGGCCTTAAATAATTCAATAAAATCAAAAACCAGCGTAGTAAAATGTCGAATCGTTAATTTCGTAACAAACTGTGAATTTCCATTCAAATCTAAACATTTAATTTAAATTGTAGCGAACAAAAATTAAATATGTTTCATCGCAGTCCATCGGTCGAAGAACAAATATTTTACAAAATGTGGCTTCCGCAAAATCGTAAATTAAGTAGAAATAGTGTCGGGAATAAAACAAAACAAAATTTTTACCTTTTTTTGCAAAGCAGAACTATTCGTTCTGCCCGCTTCCCTTTTCATTCTATTCACTTTAACTTTGGCGATGTCTAAGAAAGCCTGCAGATGCATTTTGGTAAGGAAAAACCGCATAAGACAACAAAGTAAGATGACTCCAATGCGAATGTTATCAAAGTTTGAGTCCGATACTCTATAAAATACACAAACGTTAGTTTAAGAAAGTAGCTACAAAAACATGAGAAGAACGAGGGAAGTCATTTCTTCACTTACGAAAATGAATTATTTCTGCTCGCGAAGTATTCGCGAGCCAAGGGTTTGATCCACAATAAAACAAGACAAAGAGGAGCGAAGAAATTTACATAAAAAAGGACACTAAAAATTTAAAAAATGGTCAGCGGTCGTACATTAAATCCATTATCTCTATACATGACGACAAAGTGAAGCGGATTCATAAACACAATTTAATTATGATGAATATTTAATGTCATTAACGCTACACATACTACTTATAGAAGAAACTTGTTAGACAATTATTCCTACTTACAGAAGCAACCTGTTAGATTTGTATTGCTCTATCAAATCCAAGAACATTATTGATATTCTAATGCCAGAAAAGCCGAGAAAGGCTCCGATAATTCCCGAGATTACAGCGAGCGCGAGTTTAAAGATCCATATTGGAGCGGATCCACCTCTGTTGAAGATAATTAAGACAAAGTGTAAGAACAGTAATGCTTCGTTATGGTTTTAATTTAAATGTCGCGTTCATGAGACTCGTGTCGTCAGGAATTGACTTACTCTCGTGTGAATCCTTGTTTCTTCAAAAATAATTCAGCTTCTTCAGAGAATATTTCGTAACCTAAAGAGAAGGTCGACTCAAACATGAGACGAAAAAGATTCGGAGTAGATTGAAAGCTCATAAAACGGAGTAAGTGAAAATCTACTAATGTTTCTTGATTAGAAAGACAAGATTTCGTCGGTATTTGGCAAAATACAGAATCTTGCTTCTAGGAGACACCTTTTAAAGTACAGTTATTTTAACTTTTTAGAAGAACTCCATTGTCCACGAAAGTCGTAAAAAAACAATAGCTGTTATTTCCATGTAAAAGAAACAAACAAAGTGAAAGTGATGAAGCCTGATTTGAAGGTCAGAAAGACCCGTGAGCAGGCTAACAGAGACTTACCAAGACCACAGTATAGAGAACATACTGTAGAGCCACTCCATTGAATCATTTTGTGCCACACATATCTTATTAGGCATGTGATACCATAGTGGCAGTCAGTAAATTGCATTGTGTGACCAATAGGATTGACGATATGGCAAACGGCAGCTAGTAAACTAATTTCTTATATGCAGCCAATTGCACAGCGAAGTGAAGCTACCGTATATTCCTATACTGTGCCAAGACTTAAGGATTTGTTTACAAGCAAAAAAACAAGGTCAATTAACGGTACTGTGAATGTTAGTTAAGTTAGTTTAGTTTAAATCCGAAGTATTGTAAATCAGGATCAATGTGAGATGATCCGAAGTGAATCTCAGAGAAAAGCAAATCAAATCTGACCCAAATGAACCTACACAAAATAATTTTCTTCCAATCCTTTATAATTCGCTGCACTTTCTCATCTAATAACGACATCTCATTCTACGCGTTACAATGATTTCACAGTTTTCTGCTCATTTCAGTGATATTTATGTTAAAAAAATATTTGAGAAAAAGTTTACGAACTAAATTAAAAGATTACCTGAGTCCAAATTGAACTCCAACATAGATTCATCGACTACCAAAATGGCCATCGCCAGAACAAAGAAAAAAACACCAAATGTCAAGCAGACAAATTTTTCTCCTGAATCATCACCCGACCAATAGGAAGCCGTGAGCAGAAACAAAACACGTCTGTATGTAGAGTAAAGGAAAGCATAAAAACCTTACAGGAGGGGTGGTCACTGTCCCATGTGTCGTGTTTATTTACCTCTGGGGAAGGCTGGACTCGAATTTAAAATACATAAATACCTTCATTACGCAAGGGTCACAAAAATACCAGAGAAGCATTTTCAATACAATAAATACATTAGGTAATGAGAAGAGATCGTACTTCGCTTGAGAGGGGGGTGGGCCTAACCATTAACAATCTTCGGCTCCGCATACCATTAGTCCTTGCCCCCGTCTATATTTTTTTAAAAAAGATAAATTCTGTCGACCGACATAGTGAAGGAACGTTTTTGTCTATTCAATCGAACAAAGAGATTTTCAACCATCACAGCAATCGCCTTCCGCTCAATAAATCGAAGAGCCGCAAAAATCCTCGTGGATCAATCTTTGATTCTAGTAAAGTGGCGAGTCAGCAAGTTTGGTCCTGTTATGAACATTTGAGATGATTCTTTATTTCTTTAGAAATCTTGTGATTTTACAGTCAGTAAACACAGAAATATTTACATAGCACGACCAGCTTTAAGAACTGACCACGGAGCTTGGTGGGTGTTTAACTTTAAGAACTGACCACGGAACTTCGTGAGTGTTTAAGTTTAAGAACTGACCACGGAACTTCGTGGGTGTTTAACTTTAAGAACTGACCACGGAACTTCGTGAGTGTTTAACTTTAAGAACTGACCACGGAACTTCGTGAGTGTTTAGCTTTAAGAACTGACCACGGGACTTCGTGAGTGTTTAGCTTTAAGAACTGACCACGGAACTTCGTGAGTGTTTAGCTTTAAGAACTGATCACGGAACTTTGTGAGTGTTTAGCTTTAATAACTGACCACGGAACTTCGTGAGTGTTCAACTTTAAGAACTGACCACGGAACTTCGTGAGTGTTTAACTTTAAGAACTGACCACGGAACTTCGTGAGTGTTTAGCTTTAAGAACTGGCCACGGAACTTCGTGAGTGTTTAGCTTTAAGAACTGACCACGGAACTTCGTGAGTGTTTAACATTAAGAACTGACCACGGAACTTCGTGAGTGTTTAGCTTTAAGAACTGATCACGGAACTTCGTGAGTGTTTAACTTTAAGAACTGACCACGGAACTTCGTGAGTGTTTAGCTTTAAGAACTGATCACGGAACTTCGTGAGTGTTTAACTTTAAGAACTGACCACGGAACTTCGTGAGTGTTTAACTTTAAGAACTGACCACGGAACTTCGTGAGTGTTTAACTTTAAGAACTGACCACGGAACTTCGTGAGTGTTTAGCTTTAAGAACTGATCACGGAACTTCGTGAGTGTTTAACTTAAGAACTGACCACGGAACTTCGTGAGTGTTTAGCTTTAAGAACTGACCACGGAACTTCGTGAGTGTTTAACTTTAAGAACTGACCACGGAACTTCGTGAGTGTTTAGCTTTAAGAACTGATCACGGAACTTCGTGAGTGTTTAACTTTAAGAACTGACCACGGAACTTCGTGAGTGTTTAGCTTTAAGAACTGATCACGGAACTTCGTGAGTGTTTAGCTTTAATAACTGACCACGGAACTTCGTGAGTGTTTAACTTTAAGAACTGACCACGGAACTTCGTGAGTGTTTAACTTTAAGAACTGACCACGGAACTTCGTGAGTGTTTAGCTTTAAGAACTGGCCACGGAACTTCGTGAGTGTTTAGCTTTAAGAACTGACCACGGAACTTCGTGAGTGTTTAGCTTTAAGAACTGACCACGGAACTTCGTGAGTGTTTAATAAATGCTTGAAGCACGAGAAAAGACGAAAGTAAGATCGGCGAAAGAAATGCCAAACTTTGCTGGCAATTTTTATGTCGGAATGTTAGGTTGCAAACTTAACCTAAAATATCGCATTTGTACAGAACCAACCATCCATAAGTCGAGTTAACACCAAAGTTACCAAGTTAGAGCCCGGAAAAATATGCAAAAAAAATTCTAATGTAAAGTCTCTGTCATAAAAATTTTTGATAACATTTTGATAACAATTTTGATGATTTGCAAACTTAATGAAAACGAAACGAATGTCCGGACTTCCACCATAGCAGTTTGTCTTCATAATTGACGAGCTTTTGATTAGCCTGAGTGCTTAGAACGCGCAATATTGAACTCAATCTTCAAACTGTTAGAAAGGTTTTTACAGTACACGATGAACAAAAATATCGCGGATTTTACTGCAATAAAATGAAAGGTCAGCATAAATTTGCCGACTTTGAAGACTGAAAGTCAACAATCGGGCCGACCTCGTTTTCAAGGCTGACATTAAGTCAAGCTTAAGATCCCTTTCGTTTCATTAAAAAGGATACATTGCAAAAATATGCCCAAGAAATTCCATAATGGCGTCACACTGATGTCGTTACGTAAAGAGCGGGAAATAAACACGAAATCCCCTCGATGATGATATTGAATATGACGGCAGACACAGCAAAATCAACGAGCCACTTGTATTCTGTATAATAACATTGAAATATCAAATCTGTTTCATCAACCTAATGGGAAAGTGTTTTATGTTAGTTTTACAATATAATTTTATAGTGTATTTATTGAGGGGAGTTTCCAACTTTCAATACTTCGAAAGAAAGGGGGCATGGTGCAAAGTTTCAGTACATATCGAAAATGCTGAAAGCTTGAGGTTATGACGTTATGGCATATTTACTGGGGGGGGGGGTAGTCATCTTCAAATACATGAAAAGAAAGGGGGGCGTTACAAAGATTCATTACACATCGACTTACTATGCCAAAAGATTGAAGTTATGATGTAATGGGGTATTTACTGGGGGGTAGTCATCTTTCAATAACTCGAATGAAAGAGGGATGGTGCAAGAGTTTTATTACATAAAGACAATGTTAAAAGTTGTGGAATGTAGCTATTTTTTGACTATTGTCATTGGAGCTTGTGGGAGAAAAGTTAGATAGTGTTTTCCACCATATAAGAAAACCACGTTTGTTTTAAATTTCTCTTTAAAAGCAGAAAAACTACTATTTAAAGACGACAATCAATACAATAAACCATTTAAGACATATAACATGAAAACATAGTTTTATTTTGTGAAACAATAACAACCCTATTTTAAAACACTTAAAATAGCCAATATGCAGTGGATAGTGCTTTCGAAGCTAAGTACAACCTCCAGTAAATGAATGAAGATATTCTTGGTTGTCTGCAAGCAACAAGACATGCAAGACGCCTATCGGGCGTTCACTCGTCCTGCTTGAGACCAGAGTTTGGTCATATTTGAGTATTATAATATAGTTGTCAAATTGCACAACAAAATTCACAGCAATGTAATCTCACATATGGCAATGTATTATGTAGGTAAATCATGTTTCATTATACGTTTTATTACTTACACGTGAAACTACCCAAGACAGATTTCATTAGTTCAAGGACTTCATGTAAGAATGTTATCTCGTGATTGACAGCACAACAAAATCCGAATTTTTTTCAAACTCGGGCAAGCAATTCCTGATTAAACAGTTTATAAATCACAATCGCATTCATAATTTACGTCAATGAAACAAAGCCTCACCCCCTGCCTCAAAATCATATGCTCAATGAACAAGAAAGACTTTACCCCCCGATTCTTACAACCCCCCTGTATATACACGCGGTGACTGAATAAACCACTGATACAAGAGACACTGCTTATGACCACATTTTGAGGCTATTTATTCTTACAGTCCTCAAAAAGTTAGTTGACAACTTCTACAATACTTTCTACATACAAAAAAAAATATCAAAAATAATATAACTCAGTTACAGGATCAGAAAACGACGGCGCACCCAAAGTCCTGGATCCCAGAAATGCACTTTCAACAACGATGTAGAAATTATGTTGTAAATTATACGTTGTAATAGATTTTTTGCAAAGTATGTTTTGTTTATAACTTTTTAAACACTGCATAGGTACAAGAAAAGTATATTGTATTATAAGTTCAACGCATATTTATATATTCTTGTGTTTCATTCCAATAAGGTTCACCCATTTTTTTCAAAATCTGTCTTTGAACCACTAGAGCTTTGGAAATGCACATTTTCTTAAAGTTGTCAAATCACTATTTGAGATGTGTCGGAATTAATAAAACCCCATGATGAGGTCATATGCACTTTAAAATGAGACAAATTTGAAATATACTTCAGGTATTAAAAAGCAATCTTACATTCACTGTTCTTAGTTGAATGTTCATGTTGCAAGGTATGGATAACGGCTCAGAAGATATAAATTGAATTGATGCTCCATTATTTTCTTCCTTTTTCCTACAGAACAAAAGGAGAAGCATTAACGGTGTTTATGAATAACAACTGCTTAGTTTATGCTGATTTTAGCCTGGACAAGATGACAAGAGAATAACAGATCAATTGTAAGAGCCTGTTCATATAAAAAAGGCGAACCCAGTTTGGCTGAGCTGGCCAGTTTGCCAGAGGCTAATATATATTTGAAGTTGTATAAGACAGGCTGGTTCTTCTAAAATGTTGTCAGTCCCCCTTCTAAAATGTTGTCAATACTTGTTCCATTTTGTGCTAAAGTTCAAATGTGTTTAGACTTGCACATTCCAACATTTTCAAATATTAATTTGTCGCATTTTGTGCTAATATTTGAATGTGTTTAAACTTGAACATTCCACGATTTTTTTTATTTGAAACCACAATCATGATGGTACAAGCTACAATGCAGCATACTTAGATAAAACTTTTAAACTTCTTTTTCAAATGATTATTGTCGCTTTTGAATTAGCCGCCATATTAGAATAAACATGTGAAACAACAGCATGCACAGTCTCCTCACTTCCAGCCCAGTTAAGCCTGGCAAGCCCATTTTATGCTTTCAAATAAGACCTTTAATGAGGAGAAACTGCTTCATTTGGGGGAAATCTTGCCAAGCCAGACTGGCCCATTCTTCATATGAAGATAATTTTTAAAACAAAGTGAATTAGTATACAAGGTAAGATATATTGAAAAAGCTATATCATACTGTACAGGCCCTTATAAAATGTCAAAAATATATCGCAAAATGTGTACCGAAAGTGTAGCAATAGTAACAATGTAAAAAAAACAATGAAATGCAACAACAATATGTGAAAACAAATCTTTATAATTAATACCTTGCATCAGAACGCTTAGCTTTATTTGACTTTGTTCTTTGTGTTTTACCAAGGAGTTTTCTCAACTCTGTGTCAGAGGGTGGTACATGACGTACCCATCTAAGGAAAGACATATGTGAAAATTACAACAGAAAATGTCAAAAACAAACACTTGAGACAACATACCCACTGCATAATAATCAACTGGCCAGCAACATATATGGTGAAAATTTGTGAAGAAACAATGCTACACCAACGTTAGGACAACCTGTATACCAAACAGTGCCTAAAAGGAAAAAGGCCAATTCCCAGATATATTTTCTATGATGTATAGTATTATTTCTTAAGGGAGGGAAGAGATTGGGAAATGTTTAAGGTTATAAGAGCAGTTAACTGAGTGCAAAGTTCTAAACATGACAAAGTATTCCCATATGCATGTTAGGTAGGAGCAAGCACCTAAAACATTGGGCAGACAAAGCCAGAAGGGAGGGGGAGATTAAGAAATGGTTAAGTTTATAAGAGCAGTTGACTGAGTGCAAAGTTCCAAACATGACTAAAGTATTCTCATATGCATATTAGGTGGGAGCAGGAACCTAAAACCTTGGGCAGACAAAGCTAGAAAGGCATTATTTGCAGGAAAGTTTGGTGAATTAAGCCATTTCAGATTGAAAATGTTTAGATTGCTCCCCTTAAAATGTTAGCCCGTACATGTAGGAGTACACCACAAAAACAAACCATCGTAAAGGCTTTGTTCAATCAGAAGCAACTTCTAGCAACAAGTTTGGCTGACAATTTCTTCAGATATTTTTTGGTTTGCTGCACCAATTTATTGATGTGCCATGAAAAGTTTTTCTCGCAAGTTATATAGCTTTTTTGTTAAACACATCTACTAATGTTCAACCAACAAGATAAAATTAACAATGCAACATCCTTGGCGTCAGGCGAGTCAAAGATGATCTGTAAAACCCAGAAATTCATGTTGTTGAATATGCTCGAGGATTCCAAATAGTTTATGAAAACTGAAATTGCAGCTTTCCCTTCTAGTATGATGAACTTTATAAAAAATTTATAACCTGTTGATCAACGTAACTTAACAAATCCAACAAGTTATGAATAACAAAAAACGAATCGGTTACAAATTAAAAACTAAAGTTAGCAGAAGAACATCCTGGAAAATTATTTTTAGACTCATGAACTCTCTAGTCTTGTCAATGTTGTGATGACAAATATCGTCTGCTAATACAAAACTTCCCACTACTGACATTGTATTGCCTTGTTTACACATATTTCCAAAGGAGCATAGATCTTTTCCTGGGCCATTTAGAGGTTCAAAATCTACCTAGCCTTTAATCCGTTTGAAAGTGTTTTGAAGTTTACATTCTTAAAATGAATAATAAATGCGGCAACAATGAATTTGCAATATTGACATGCAGCATGAATCGATAAATTTAGAAAGAAAATGTTGCAAAATCGCTGATCAACCACTGAGTTACGTAAAACTTGCTGAAAAAACAAACACAAGCATTAAGACCGCTTAAAGGGAGATTGTTGTTTTTGCAGCAGCATAAGGTGTCCATTCTAAGAAAAATTTCGGAAGATATTTGCCATTGTAAATGATCTATAATTTATTGTTTAAAATGCTGTGTTTAACAACACATCTTGAATTTATTCTCCACAGAAACCAACGACGCTCTACCCCTTCTTGTCTTTCACGAGAACTACTTCAAAATAAAAATCCCAGCAAACTTATATAAAGACTCGGAATTAAATCACAAAGCCAGCATTTATGATTTTCTTTGATCCACATTGCTGTATGCAAGATTTGTCTAGATAAATTTCCTTATAAGGTTGCTTCTTATATGGTAAGCTGTGTGAGCCGTGTCTAAGTATGCCGAAACATGTTTGCTATAAAAAAATTTGTCGTCTATTTTAAATGTCTTATAACCATTCTATTTATTCACTTCGCATAGAAGATGGCATGAAGTATGCCGAAACAACAAAGCTTTTGAGATAAAAACAGTCAAAAATTCTAATGTTATAGTGCTGCAACAACAGGCAGAAAGGCGAAGCCAGAGAATAGATAAAATAGCAAATAAATTTGCCGGACTTTCAAACAAATGCTTTCCTCAACCCTCTAAACTTTACTGAGAAGATGGTCATAAATTTAGCGACCATAATACAGCTGTTATTTGTTTCTTTGAAACGTATTCCGAATGCAGCCTTAACTATCATATCCTTTGTACTAATCTCGAAGGAACCTTAATAGATCAAGTAGAGTTCCTATAGAAAGGAATGCAATGTTTTGGTCCTACAGGCTCACAGATTCACAAGACACGGTTGAATAACAAATGCAGAAATTCACTGCATTGATCAAAGATTTACTTAGATCTATATCGATATATGGCAGCAGGTTTAAATATTTAATTTTCCACATACGGTAAATTTCCTTTTAAGGTGGGCTACCTTTCATTGCACGTTTAATATTTAATTAAGATTTATGTATTGTTGTGTTTTAGAAATTGTTGTGTTTAATTTGTAGTTCTCTTACAGCTACATTTACAAACTTCGTAATGAAAAACTTTAGGCAAATGCAACAGAATGTCGGCACTATTGCTTTTCAAACAATCCAAATGTTAAAGCGATTATAAGAAAGCATAATTCCATTTTGACACATTTCATTGTTTTTAGCGCATGCGTGAAAAATCACCACAGCAATTATTTTATTGGTTCACATATTGGCGTTGCCTATGCACGTGATCTCTACCAGGCAAAAAAAGAAAGGCGAGTCTGTTTGTTATCTTTCAATCCTTTTGGTTGGAGAGAGAAGATTACACGGAGCTTGTGTTTGGTGAAGAAATATAAACGTCAGTGATCTTTATATAAAAACTATAAGACATAGTTAAGTAGAAGGTGGGTGAAATTATTTCTTATTCTTTATATAATGAATGTGTCGTGATGAGTATTTAGCATTTACCAGATGAAAAGCATTCATTGCCTCAAAGAAACTAAATAAAAGCAAAATGCAATAAACGATAAAACTGGCAAAAGATATTTCAGTGAAAAATTCTGACAGGAGCTTGTCTTGTTTTGAGCACAGTCTAAATATTTCATTTGATTTTGTAAGCGCCAACTCTCGCTTCTCGTCGCGACGCACTTTTATTGAGATTACTTTATCATGCCATTGTTTTATTCACATTTTTACTTGAGACATAACAAAATAAATATTATAGAAACCTTCGTCTTCTGAATTCTATCTTAAATAGTTGCATTGCAACCAGAAACCTTTATTACCATCGTTCATTCAAAATAAATTTTAAGTTTTTGTAATACGACAAAAATATTTTGAAACTGGAACAGCTGCTACAAAAAAATTTCGTGATCATTTTAATACTTTATGATCACAGACAAAAATATGGAGAACAAAAAAATTGTAGTTGATATGAACGAGCATCGATAAATTCGGAAGCTTATTTTTGATAAAGTTCGATAAACTTATTTTTATTGGAAGAAAATGCATACGGAAGTAAATAATTTTTTTCAAGTATTGCTGAACTCATGATATTAGTTCTCCTTTATTTTGGGAAGACAGCAGGTATGGTCGGTTCAATACGAGACTGCCACCTGTATATGTACATTACAAATAAGACACTTGTATCAAGTGTTTTCTCGAAAATATTAACTTCATAACACCTCGTCGCAACGCAAATACCTTATTCACCAGCTACAAAAGAAGGTTTGTTGACGCTACGTCAAATAAACTACTAGAAAAGTCTTTGAAATCGGAACAGCTGCTAGGAGAAAAACTTCTGCGATAAATTTGTTCTTCCATTCTCACACACAAAAGAAATTTACTTAAAATGTGAGCACAGGAAGTTGCCATGGATATAAATCCATAATTTTATAAGATGTACTAACTTTTATTGGAAGAAAATGCCGACAACAATATAATTTTCTTCAAGTTAGCAACTATTACTAAACTCATTAACTCTACGCTATTTAATGTTTATAAAACATCGGTTAAATGCAAAACTTCCGGCTTCCGTACTACCCCGCACTAAAAGATTTTTAAATTTGCATGTTTTTTATGAACTTTAGCCATTGCAAGACTACATAGTTCTTAAAATCAACATAGCTAACGTGAATAAGAACATAAATCTCCAAAATTGTAAAGAAAGTTCTGCAAAAAGACTAAATTTTGTAAAAGATTATCGTGACTGAAGAAATGTTTTATTGATTCGTTGCTATGTGGCATTTCTACTATTTTTACCAACATTGGAAATTTAGCGGTCAGGAAAAAAAACAAATGTGTACTGATTGGTTAGATTTTACTAAATGAATATTTATCATCAATGACATTGTAAAGGAGGTAATTTTAATTTAAAATTAACAGCTATAATTTATTTTGCTAAATCCTAGACACAATTAAAGAATATTGTTCATCGACACTTCGATCTATATAGGTTAAAAGCTGACAATTAAGTAATTCAGCAATATTCTTTTCGAAGGTGTAATTTACCTTATCAGTGACGTATTCAAAATAACTTTTTGGAAACCTTTCGATGCAGATAACAAAAAAAATGATGATTAGATCGTTGAGATCTGAGCATTTCGGGTAGAATTAAAACTTCATCTTCACAAAAGCTACACTTTCTCTTCTTTTTGTACATCGAACAAATTTGAGCATTCTACGTCAAATGACTTTGACATTTCTTATAGAAGCTAAACTGCTCACTATGTCAAAATTAGTATTAAAAATGCAAATTAAGAAGTCAGCTGCATATATTGAATAAACATAAACAAAAATTCGCGTTTTCAAATTGGAACGGAAATTGGGAAAAAACTTCCGTGACAATTTTCTTCTTTTGTGCTCAGAGACAAAAGAAATTTACAGAAAATTTTTAAAACACGGAGTTCACATGAACTTTAGGTGTAATAAAATTTGTCAGAGATATCATTTTTACATTGAAAGAGAAATGCCGGCAAGAAAACACTTTTCGTCAAGGATGCAATTGAATGTTCTTATCCATTTTGTGATGAATGCAAGTAACATCAGTTCAACAAAAAGAACTTCCCGAAACTGACTATTGTAGTGCCCAATTTACAATTATTTTGAAAAAGAATATAGTTTTGAACTTCAGTACAGTATAAGGCCTTGTTTACATGAGACCGGAACGAAGTGAAACCGGGATGAAAATCGGAATTTGTCGCATGTTTACATGGGAGCGGCACGAAATCACGAAAAATCTTCATTGGCGTAATGTCTCTTTTTCAGCTAATTTTACGCTCGCTAGCCGTTTTGCTTTTGTAACTTGCTTTTGTGCGCATGTGTTGATGCCATTTCAGACCGGTCTATTATAGAAAAGCATAGTTCCATTTTCGACCATTTCATTGTTTTATAACGCATGCGTGAAAAATCACCCCAGCAAGTATTTTATTGGTTCACAGATTGGCGTTGCCTATGCACGTGATCTCTACTAGGCAAGAAGAGAAAGGGCGAGTCTGTTTGTTATCTTTCAATCCTTTTGGTTGCAGAGAGAAGATTACACTGAGCTAGTGTTTGGCGAAGAAATATACACGTCAGTGATTTTTATATAAAAACGATAAAACATACTTAAGTAAAAGGTGGGTAAAATTATCTCTTATTCTTTATATAATGAATATGTCATGATGAGCATTTAGCATTTACCATATGAAAAGGGTTCATTTCCTCAAAAAAACAAAAAGCAAAAAACAATAAACGATGAAACAGGCAAAAGATATTTCAGTGAAAAACTCTGACAGGAATTTGTCTTGTCTTGAACAAAGCCTAAATATTTCATTTGATTTTGTTGGCGTCAACTCTCGCTTCTCGTCGCGACGCGTTTTTGTTGAGAATGCTTTATGATACCTTTGTTTTCACTTCAGACATAACAAAATATGTAGAAACCTTCGTCTTTTGAATTCTATCTTATATAGTTACATTGGGCACAGAAACATTCATTCCCATCTTTCATTCAAAATAAGCTTTAAGTTTAATGAATTACGACAAAAATGTTTTGCAACTGGAACAGCTGCTACAAAAAAATTTCGTGATCATTTTAGTAGTTTATGATCACAGACAAAAAGATATTTGCATAAAATATGGAGAACAAAAAAATTGTAGTTGATATGAGCGAACACCGACAAATTCGTTAAATGTACTTATTTCTATTGGAAGAAAACGCATACTGAACAAAATGATTTTGTTTAACTATTGTTGAACTCATAAAATTTGTTCTCAGCAGGTATCGTCGATTCAATACAAGACTGCCACCTGTATATGTGAATACATTACAAATAAGACACTTGCATCATATAAGTGTTTTCTCGAAAAGTTTAATTTAATAACACCGCCTCGCAACGCAAAAAACTTGTTCACCAGCCACAAAAGAACGTTCGTTGACGCTACATTTAATAAACTATAAGAAAAGTATTTGAAATCAGAACAGCTGCTAGGAGAAAAACTTTCGCGATAAATTTGTTCTTTCATGCTTACGCACAAAAGAAATTTACATAAAAATGTGAGCACAAGGAGTTGCGTCTGATGTAATAAATCACTAGAGTGTGAATACAAGTGTTACATGTCATTATCAGTATAAAAACAATTCTCGGAACGTTTAGATCAAATGATGTTTACTACATACGGAGTTTACAAATAGCTAGATTACTTAATAAATGTTTTCTCAGAATGGTGTTTCCAGCTAATGTCGAGGGAGATTCTGCTTCCAACCAAACGAAGATAGAGTATAAGATATTCAATGATCCAATTCATGGCACTATCGAACTTCATCCTTTGTTGGTGGACATCATCAACACGCCACAGTTTCAGCGCTTAAAAGACATCAAACAAATGGGAATTTGTCATTTTATTTATCCTGGGGCAACTCACGACAGGTGAGTCTATCGACATTGTAATCTGATGATTGAAATTTGATCACGAATTTTCAAAAAAATTTTCAATCTTGTATATATGTTCCCAAATTTAATTTCAAACAGATTCCAACATTCACTTGGAACATCTCATTTGTGTGGTGAACTTATCGACAGATTAAAAGAGCTTCATCGCAAAGAGTATGAGATCACAGATGAAGAAAGCTTATGCATCAAAATAGCAGGACTTTGCCATGATCTTGGCCATGGACCGTTCTCTCATTTCTTTGATGACGTTTACAAGAAAAAGTTGAAAAGTGACGTTATTGATTTGGAGTGGAAGCACGAGGACTTGTCCTGTGAACTATTTAAGTTTATGCTAGAGGAAGAGGAGAATCCTGAACTTAGGAAGAGATTTAGGCATTTTGACCTTTTCGAAAAAGATGAAGAATTCATCTTAGAACTTATCAAAGGTATGTTATACAACAGACATTACCACGACACTGCAGTTGGTAAGATAAAGTAGTACAGACCACATTTAGATCTCAAATAAAAAGTCCAAGTTAGGGTCAAGCAAACTTACCGACAAAGGCATACAGATGTACGTCAATTTTTACTTTTTACTACTATTTACTTTTATTGTTGATTTTCAAGGTTGAAAATTAAATATAAATTTATCGTACCTCTAGTTTTATGTCACCTTTCCGAAATGAGCTTCAATTGCAAGGTCAACGGCCATTGCTACTAAATAGGGAATGAGTTGACAAATCTGAAAATATTATTTAGATATGTAGAGTAAAGATTGATTTCTTTGATGCAAATAAGAGTGACTAGTGCTAACTCGTTATCTTTCAAGCTAATAAACACAAAAACAACTGTAATTTCTCCTTTTGTGCAGGAAAAGACCCAATCAGAGGCAAGGTGGAAAGGAAATGCCAATTAACAAAACTGCCAAAATGGTTCCTGTATGAAATCGTGTCAAACAAACAAAATGGGGTCGACTGTGACAAGTTTGATTACTTCGCCCGTGACTGCGCTAATGTTGGAGTGAAAAGTACTTTTGACCACCAACGCTACTTTAAGAATGTTCGCATCATGTCTATAGATGAAGAGCTACATATCTGCGTTCGTGACAAAGAGGTGTTCAACCTGTACGAGTTATTCCACACCCGTTGGTCCATTCATCACAAAGTTTGTTGTCACAAAACTCAGGCACCAATACATGATATGTTAGCAACGGCTTTCCAAAAAGTCGACAAAATAATGAAAATCTCAGAAGCTGTCAAGAAGAAGGATATGAAACGATACACTGTCCTGACCGACAGCATTCTCTATGATGTATTACGAAAAGAAAGTGAAGAGCCTGCTGTCAAAGAAGCACAGGATTGGATAAAACGCATACAAAAACGAAAAATTTACAAATTTTGTGGTCAAACTCAGCCACAATCGAATGACGACTGCCCTTCGGAAGAAAAAATCGTCAAAGACCTGGTTATAATATCAGATGAACAATTGAATGAGGAAGATATATTTGTTGACATGCCAAAAATCGATTTTGGAATGAAAGGTAAAAATCCAGTTGATGCTGTTACATTTTTCATAAAATCTGGCGAAAATGTAGAAATAAAAAGAGAGCAAGTGAGTCGAATGTTGCCACAAAATTTCCAGGAAAGATACATCAGAGTTTATGCAAAACACCCCGAAAACAAGGAGCAGACTGAATTGATCAAAAAAACGTTTAGGAAATGGTGCTCCAAGCAAAAGTATCCGAAACCTATAGGAGGATAAAGAAAGACTGTTCGAAGTTCTTGTTGTTAAATCATGATGTCTTAAAAATACGCTTGACAATTTCTTAAAAAACGAATCACAACAAAATGTCTTTATTTCAAAGCACCAATAATTATATATACATTAAATCCACATTTCAAACTTCCAATTGTTGAAAAATAGCTAGAATGTAACATTAAAGCACAAGTGAGACAAAAGGACGAACTATATAATAATCTTCTCCATAGTTAATGTTAGATAAGCACAAAACTGTATCAAATTCAATAAAATGCATAAAAGATACGATGATAAAGTTTTAACCTTCACATGAAGTGCATCTGCAGGCTGGCGATTTGTTTATGAACAATTTCTATGAAATCCAGAACGCAAAATATGTCGCCCTTTTGAACAGGTCGATATTTTGCGACATAGCTATTAAACTCAAATATATTGTTACATTCCCACGTATTTTAGAACTTTAGCTAGAATATTCTAAATATTTTGAAAAAATACAACTACATAAAGTGCAAGAGAAAATAAATCAGTAGTTGTAAAAAATGTTACAGACAGATAAGTATTCTGATTAAAGTCGAGGCTACGTAGCACTTCATAACAAAAATAATTCAACGTGTTGGTGTAGCAGCATATAGGGGTTGATTACAAAGGCCAAGTTCAGCCACATAAATGAAGTGAGATAATTTTTTAGTGTTCCATGAAGATCAAGAGAGTTGAAAACTTTTTTGTGAGCATGCGCCCTTGGTTTAACTTTAATAAATGCCACAAAGCCTATGGACACTGATATTTTGAGCGCACGCTGATTGGCTAGCAAAACAAGCAGATTGCTAAGGATTATAGCTATGCTTAAAAAGTCCTTCATGATAAAAAAAAAAGGGCAAGATTCTTCTCATGGAAATAATATAACTCTATCGGTTGCATAGTTAACGATGATGGAGAGGGAGGGCTTAATATTTATTTATGCATGTTTTGCCGTATTGAGCTTCTTTAAAACAAATTGTTTCTGGATTTAATACGGAATAAAACATGTTTATATATGCCCTCATATACCAAGCTGGTAATTCCATTGTTGATGTTAACGGCATGCAAAAAGTTAAAAGTGTATAAATGTACAGAAGATCAAGGATTTGAGATCATCGAAACAATAAAAAATTCGAACGCTGGAACAGAAAAAACAAATAAAAAATGCAGTGAGAGCGAGCTTTTATGCCTTGCGCCAAGTATAAAACTTTTTTTTATCTCTTCGTGGTGTTTAGTTTTTGTCCTGCTACATGCGTAAAGTTCAGATTATTATCACTATCCATTTCTTTAATAATCTATTGTTTTTACCGTTGGTGAACAAAGACAAATTTTCAACCTGACAGATATGTCATTGACAACCAATCCTATGAAAATGTGTTGTCTGGATAATAAAACTCGCTTTCTGATTGCTAACCTCCAACTCCCATTTTGCATGTTTTATAATTTCGCTTATAGCGTTTTTTATTATGTAAAATTTGGCAGGTTAAATAATGTAATATGTTCAAGTTTTTCAAAATACGTTTAGAAAAGTAATGGCCGCCAAAAATTTTTTCTGCGCCAATCAAAGAGCATTTTTTCACCGGGAGGTGACGCTTGCTATACATTTATTAACAATTTACGATTTGAAATTATGTATGTATAGGATACGTTATACGACTATGATTATACATACATATGTAAATGGCTATAGTCATAGTCGTGTAACGTATCGTACAAATATTTCAACTAACTGCAGATAGAAAGATCAAAACTTGCAATAAGTAATGCTGCAGACTTTGATTGTTTTATTTGCTTAACTATTTATCTTTGTTGTAAAATTGTACATGACACTTTCTGAATGTAATAACTAACAACAATACATAAAAAAACATATTTAGTCGATTCATATTAATACTCTATTGCAAATGCTTTAATTTCATTGGCTACTCTACTCACTATCTATTTTTACATAGATAGCGAGCAGCAAAGCAAGAGAAACGGGTAGCGAAAAACACGGCTGCTGTCTCGCGTTTCACTAAGATTTCAGACGATATATTATATTGTTTAGCTAAAAAAAAAATATAAGAGATGAGTAAAGTTGCCACTAAATTCGACTTAACGACATTTAAATATAAAATAAAAAAAGTTCCTTTAAATTAACTTTATATGTATCGAGTAACATTCGTCCGCTTTCAATAGCGATGTCAACAACATATGCACAAAACAAATTAATGAAAATTATACTGGCAACCTTTTTCTTCAGGAATATTAAGATGATTCTGCTAATAAACCATCAGATTGCTTGTAATCTAATTGGTAATTACAAGAATACTACTCTTATTCTATAGCAAATGCTGTATTTGATTGGCTATTATACTTCCTATCGAATTCTCATTAGATAGCAAGAAGCAAAAAATTATGGTTTCTCTCTAGCGTTTTACTTAGTGTCATATGATGAATTTGATTGTTTACTTGAAACGATAATTCGAGAGGAGTTCGTTCACGAATTTGTTCTCGATTTCCACCGACGTAAGACGTTAATCAGGCTTCGCCATCATCAATTATCACCACATAAAATCTCGAGCTAGTAATCTAATTGTTAAATATCTCAAATGTACAAAGTACTAAAAGGAAGTTGTAAAGCAAAAGACAGCGAAATCTGCATAAGTGAAACAATGAGACAACAATTGACATTCAAAGTTTGTGTTACGTAGATGAACACAATCAAAAAGTAATATTGATTGTGATGATCAGTCAATATTCATTGATAAAATATAACTATAGCATGGCAATTTGTTTATATAGTATTCAAAATCTATAAAGTCTAATTTGCCTAAAGTCCTCAAAATTGGGCCAGTCGGACATTACAGAGCGCTACTGCATTACCCAGACTATGATTGAAAAAACTTGAGTAAGCTATGATAAAATCTGACAACAAGTCGGTTACCTATGAATTCTGCCAAGAGCTTCCGACTTCAACATAATCCATTCCAATCCAATACAAATAACCATATTTCTTACCGTCACTGTACACATCTATACATAAAATACCTGATGATAGACAACACCAAAAGCAGACGTCATAAACATCGCCAGGCATATCCACCACGTGAAATATGACGTTACAGCTCTGACAAGTTCCGACACGAACACGTGACGTAGATTTTGAACAGTGTTCACCGTGACATTTGAAACGAGCATAGATTTCTGAAGATGTTTCATTAAAGCATTGGTCGACTCCCAGTCGGTAGTACCTGTGAAGAAATTGCATTCATAACAATAGTTATACTAACTGTCTTTGACAACATAACGGAGAAACTTTTATTTACAACAAAGTACGTACAACTGAGGGACATAGGGAGATCTTTATTGAGGAAGGGAAAAGAGGCCCATCCCTTTACAATCTCAAAACAAATGCATTCGCAATGTTTGCAAGTAAAGGTGGAAATTATTGTGGGGAAAGAGGCGGCTGTAGCATGTCCAAACTGGTTAGCGGTCCCTTTATTCTACAGTTGGAAATTGATGACATGAGACCAGGTAGCTGGAATTCTACGAATCGTTAATGATTTGGGTAGTATAAACTAACAAGCATCTCCAATAAATTCATTATTACCAGTTGTTTTTAAAATTACTACAGATCACTCACAACACCCAATAAAGCTCAATATATACCTGCTGTTCTTAAAGAATAACTAAAGATTACTCAAAATACCCAATAAAGCTCAATATGTACCTGCAGCTCTTAAAGAATAACTAAAGATTGCCCAGTATACTCAACAATCCCAATATGTACCTGCTGTTCTTAAAGAATAACTAAATGCTACCCAGTATACTCAATAATCCCAAAATGTACCTGCTGTTCTTAAAGAATAACTAAAGATTACTAAAAATACCCAATAAAGCTCAATATGTACCTGCAGCTCTTAAAGAATAACTAAAGACTACCCAGTATACTCGACAATCCCAATATGTACCTGCTGTTCTTAAAGAATAACGAAAGACTACCCAGTACACCCAATAATCCCAATGTGTACCTGCAGTTCTTAAAGATATCGTCAAAAAGACCAAACGGATAACTGGAGCCAAATATTGAAAAGAAGCCACAGATAAATAACAAGAAACACTAAAAATCTAAAAAATACATGAAATACACCGATATTTGAAAGTGAACATTATAAAATGAAGGATATTGCGAAAATGTACATTATTAGCACGTTAGCTCAAATTAATAATATTAACACAGAAATTTACCTAACAGTTTTCTGACTGTATGTCAACGATCATTTAAAAATAATTAACAACTAGTTCAGTTTCATTATGTTAATTTGCTTCTCTTTAGAGATATTTACATTTCTTCATCCTGCAAATACTCTTACCGAGATGCCATTTTGCATAGTTCTATATAGTTATAAGAAATAATTGTTTTCATTGATAGTTGAAAATAAAATTCTATCAGAGCAACTAAACACACATTCATCAACACATGCATGAGGAACATTGATGTTCTGTTTACGAAATAGAAAACGCTTAACCTGTTTCTATAGAATTTTAGAAACACGAGGGGGATATTGAAAAAATAAAACTCACTTTCCAAGTGCTTTTCTTCCGGCCAGGATTCTTAAATGTTTTTTGTTCTGTTTCTTGCATTGTACAAAATTTTTCTGTTCGCTTTTGGAAATTCGTTTTAATTGTAAAGAAAAATTACACGTACTGGCCTTAAATAATTCAATAAAATCAAAAACCAGCGTAGTAAAATGCCGAATCGTTAATTTCGTAACCAACTGTGAATTTCCATACAAATCTGAACATTTATTTTAAATTGAAGTGAACAAAAATTAAATATGTTTCATTGCAGTCCTTCGGTCGAAGAAGAAACATTTCATAAAACGTGGCTTCCACAAAATCGTAAATTAAGTAGAAATAGTGTCGGGAATAAAACAAAAAAAAAATGTTTACCTTTTTTTGCAAAGCAGAACTATTCGTTCTGCCCGCTTCCCTTTTCGTTCTGTTCACTTTAACTTTGGCGATGTCTAAGAAAGCCTGTAGATGCATTTTGGTAAGGAAAAACCGCATAAGACAACAAAGTAAGATGACTCCAATGCGAATGTTATCAAAGTTTGAGTCCGATACTCTATAAAATACACAAACGTTAGTTTAAGAAAGTAGCTACAAAAACATGAGAAGAACGAGGGAAGTCATTTCGTCACTAACGAAAATGAATCATTTCTGCTCGTGAAGTATTCGCGAGCCAAGGGTTTGATCCACAATAAAACAAGACAAAGAGGAGCGAA